TCCCATCATAGCAGCCATCGGCTCCAATCGAGGGATAGTGATGGGTTTTACAGAAGCCACTCTAGCTTTGGCTGCTAAGAGATGAACTTGGACATTCTCCAGTGTCTCCACACAAATGTAAACAGCTGCTGCGAAGGCTGAATGACTAGCATCACAAAACGTATGCAGAGAAATGTTTTGTGTACTTGGAGTAATTGAAAAACACCGTGATACGGTCACTTCCTTCAGCAAATGAAGTTCTGAAAACCAGCTCATAAATTCTTCTTTTATATTAGTGCTGACTTCAGTAAGGTATGTTTTCTTTCCACATCTTTTGCAATAACAATTTGGGTATCAGCAAAGCAGGACATAATAAACCAACTGGATCAAACACCTTATGAGTGACAGAAAGAATTATTCTTTTGGACAGTTTCAAATTTATAGCTGTCTAACCAGTCAAGATTTATCATCAACGTACCCTTTTTTTTTTATCCCATAAAAGTCCTAATACAGAAGTAAATGGTTGAGGACCATTATCATTAGTGCATTGCAAGCCACTCAAATTGAATTTTCCTTCACTCAGTATGGCTTGAGACGTCTCAATGAAGGGTAATATATCACAAGTATCATTTAAGCTTGTTGCTCGAAAGAAGAATCTTAACATAATCTTGATTATACCTGGCATCATTCAAATATTTTCCCAAATCATAATCTAAGACTGCTCCCAAAAGAAAAGGGCTGCTCTTTACACCAAAGACCAATATGCTGTGTTGCATTACCTTAATTTCTTTACAGTCACTATCATTCCACCAGAAGAATCTCAAATAGTTTCGTTCTTCCGGCCGAACGCTCACTTGTAAAAAGGCCTTTTCAATATCTGCAATAAAACCATATTTAAATTCTCTAAATATCAGAAGGAGACTTGGAATGAGTTCTAATAAATTGGGACCGGATTCTAGACGCTGGTTCAAAGATGGAGATCCAATTTGCCTAGCAGACGCATCGAACACTGGACGTACTTTAGTGCCATGTTCCTTGACTACAGGTCGGTGAGGAAGAAAGTGCTAGTGTGAAACATGCACCCATCTGTGACATCATCTACTATTTCCAATTCAGTCCACTGTTTAAAGTCCATTGTCTATATGCAATCTGAAGCCCCACAGTCAGCTTTCCCGAAAGCAGGAACTCCTGAAAGCTTATCCCCAAGCCGCTGACCCTAATGACGAGTAACCAGCCGATTGACACTAGTGGGGACAACTAAGTGCCTCCCGTTTCAATCTGAAGCAGAGGCCAAAGCAGTGTGTTGCGGACAGTACCTCGCCCCTCAACTACCAAGACTCTCCTTTCCAGCCTTACAAGTCTCCATGAACCTCCGAAGAGGAAAACCACAAGGGACAATGGAAGGAAAAAGTGTCAGGGCAGAGGAGAGGAAACAGAAGTGAGGATATAGCACTGGGGCTCCAGGATTATGACACCAGTCTCACCAAGAAGATGATCCCCTGAAGGGTACCTCAGGAGTACCTCAGGATTGCCCCACCTGTACTCACAAAAGTGAGCCCCTGAGGGGTAAGTGGTAGTTCAAATCATTGAGATAATGTATAATATTGACAATGTAAAGTTTCTCAACCATTTCTAATCACTGAACTCGTGAATAGATTTCCCTTTAGATTCCATGAGTTGTTGAACTTTGCTCTTCAAAGAAAACAGGCGCTGAAGCATCTTTCCTCGGCTCAAACAACGTACTTCCACGTAATACACAACATCATATTCAGCTTCAAAATCACTCAAAAATTGTTGAAACTGCCTGTGATTATGTCCTTTAGACTGAATGAAGTTACACACTTTTACAACAACATTCAACACATGTTCAAAGTTTGAGAAGGACTTCCTGCACAATTTTCTAGGTGGATGATGCAATGGAAAGTCATCATAATATTATTTCCACTTGTCTTCACATCAGATTTGGTAATGTTGTTACTCTTATTTCCTCTCCAGTCACAGATTTAGCACCATCTATGGTTATAGCAGATACATTACCGAAGTCTAACACACATTTATCCAAAATCTGTGTCAGACTCGAATACAAATCTGTTTCTCGTGTTGTACCTTTAAGTGCAACGATACTGGCTAATTCCTCTATTATTGTGAAGTCTCTATCAACACCACAAATAAAAATGGCTACTTGTGCAGTATCTGTTGCATCTGTTGAATCATTTGCTACAGAATAAAACTCAAATTTTTGCATTTGGATTTTAATTTACCGAATATATCTGTTGCGAGATTCTCTATGTATCTCGCTACTGTCACACCAGAAAAGCTAATATTCAATATGACTTGAGCCTGTGATGGACAAAGCACATCAACTATACTCTGAAGACATTCTTTTACAAATTCTCCATCAGCAAAGGGTTTTCCCCGCTTAGTAATTTTTTCTACTATCATGTAACTAACACGAACACTATTTTCAGATTCTTTATTTTTGCTGCGATGAAGAAAGACTGCTGAAAATTTAGTTTTGATTTTAATTCACTCACCTTATCACTTCAAAAACGACCTTTCAATGCAGAATATTTCTCACTGTGCTTAGTATCATAATGTCTCTTAATATTGTATTCCTTCATCACAGCTAAACTGTCATTATAAAAAGGCAAACTGCCTTACCCTTTATGTACAACAAAAAAATTAAGATCTGATCACTTTTCTTGAAAAAAAAAATCACACTTTTTCTTCAACTTTTCTCTTTTTGTCATCATGGCTTGCCGTTGTGTACTCACTCATTCAAAGACCATTTAATGCTTCCGAAATTTAGAATATGGAATAAGTGTGAATAACCTAGCTTAAAATCAACTGTAGAAAATCTGCTTATCACCCAAACAGGATGTTTACGATCACCGTTCCCTTTGACAACTGATTGCAATATTAGGAGAAATAGAATTCTAAAATTTATTTCCCCTCCCCTCTATAGTAGCTGCACACTCAAGGTCATCTTTGGCAAAGTATTCATGAAAGATTGACATCTGTTGCAAATCTGTTGGAGACAAGAATCTACACTTTTTATAAAATAGAGATTTTATGAGAAGTCGATTTTTTTTTTCTTATTTTTAAAATTATATAAGATAAAGTGAAATTATTGAAAAATTCGTCATTTTCAGAAAATTTTATCTCAAATAATATCAGGCATGCCAGTAAAATGTTCTAAATATCAAGAATAAGAGGAATTTTTTTTTTTTTTTTTTTTTTTTTTAAATGACAAAAAGCTGACAAGGCAATTTTTCTTGAAATCAAAATTTCTTTAAATTCTTCAATTTTTCTTCAAATTCAAATGTGGGGCCATAAAAATGCTTTTAATCTGCCACTCGTAGCCCATTTCTGTGTGTAGGAAACTGCTTCGAAGTCAAATAACACTTGCAACTTTACGTTTCATATATTGCTGTTGTGAAGAGCTAACATCAGTCAAGTTCAGCAAAAAGCAACTAGGAATGGCCCATAAAACAGTACTGAATTGGAACAATTATCTCTGGAAGATCTGTGTTCTTGAAATGGTGGCAGCAGAAGAGGAAAAAATCGGCAGTGGCAGATGGATTGTGAAGATCAACTAAAGCATGTTAATATGATAGAAAAATGATGCTGGAAGAATGGTGCCTCCACAGTAAATTTATGAATGAAGCATTTCTTGTAATGATTCCTGATCGTAGTGCCACTACACTAATGAACGAAATTAAAAAGAATAATCAAGAAAAAAAAAAAAAAAAAAACGCCATTTTTTCTGGTTGTTGGAAGTGGTATAATAGCAAACTTGAAAAGTCTGCATACATCAATTGTGAAGTAAATCACTAATATAATTTCATTGATCCTAAAAGTGGCACATGCATGCAAAATATAGAACATATGGGAAAGTGCTATATGGTAAAATAAAAAGCACCGTGGAAAAGCTTGCCATCAACTGGAGTCCTACTTAGTGGAGCTTCTCTGGAGGAAAGGACAGGCTGCAAATGATATGTTCGATGTCATACTAATAACAATGGCTAAACATTTTCCTCCAGACTAAAATCCGACCATGCTTGCCAATGGGGCATGTTTAATAAGAACCCCCAATTTCTTTCCTTTAGCACTACCTGATATTAGTATTAAATAGTTTACAATAATACAGACAAAATTAATTTCCCTATGCATATACAGTACCATTTGCCTTATCTTCAGTAATGAAACAAGAAAAACCCTCAAAATTAAACAGCTATATTTGGCTCTCTTTTTTTTTATACACTATTTTTAAGTTGAAAAAAAAAATGCTTTAAAATTCCAATTTTGCCAAGTTAAATTGCAGGAAAGTTGATAGTTGGTTCATTCAGTTTATAGTTTATGTTTTAAAATGATAATGGAAAACCAAGCTTGGAAGAAAATGTAAAATATCTGAACCAAACATTTATTTAGCATAATTTAATAACCATTTATAGTAACACAGGAAATAACAGAAATTTGGAAAGAATCTCTATAAATGTGAATGACACATGCAATTTCATTATGGCTAGTAAATCCTACATTGAATCACTTATAGTAAGCCATTTCAATAAAAAATTGGCCACCTAATTGTTACTACAAAAAATGAATGCATAAAAAATGAAGTGAACATTAGTGAACATCATAAAATCTAACTTACTTATCTCCTAGCACATTTTTAACAGGATGATATTTACATTCTTTATTTTTTAAAAAGTTAATCACATTTATTCAAAAATACAAAATATGAACTTCATTATAATTATTAAGATATCAAAGATTTTATTATTGAGATATCAAAATTTCATCATCACTATACATCTGATAAACTTTTCTATTAAGCATAAAATTTAATTAGTCTTAGAACATAATTTTGATAGTTATAATAATATAAAATCTAATTATGAAACATTATCATAACAATAGTACATTTAACAAAATTATGTTATAAAAAGGACACAAACTTTTTGTTCATTGACAAAATATATACAATTTTTATTTTAACTAAAATGGGAAAAACTTACATTTTTGGAGTTTTCTAGATTAACAAATGAGTGTAAAATGTCACTTGAAACATTAGTTGGTAAATTTTTATTTGGAAACATTGCCGTACTGTTTATCTGGTAAAGATAAAGCTGAAAATAATGTTCAGTTAAACACTGCATATTTTATTAATATAATATAAACAACTAATAGATATTAAAGATAAGGCCATATAGAAATATATTACAAATTTATACTTTTTAATTGTAATTTATTAAATACAACGAAAAGCATTTCCTTTACAGCCTGATGGTAATTAAAAAAAAAGGGGGGGTAATTGCATTCTGGCATACCTCTTTGCTAAAAAAATTAAAAATATCATTATTTAATTTGTGGTAACATTGCTTTTATACTTTGCATCAACATAATAAGGCATACCAAATTTAATATATGACAGAATTTGTCAAAACATAAAGTAATAAAAATTGGCAAAACAAACATTAATATATTAAATTTAATTAAGAACACAAAATTACAGTATTTTATTTAAATGTATTCTACAAATGCAGAATTTTAAGTAACTTACTGTAAGGGATAGCATTTGAAAATTGATTTGCCAAAAAATATTCTAGATATTAATGGATATATAAAACATTTAGAAAACAGCCAAATACTCTTAACTTTCATTTTTTTTTCCAGTTCCTCGATTAAAAGTTTTAAAAATGTGGATTTTATTTAACTTAATCAAAAGTTAATTTACAACTAACTGACATAATTTGGTTATCTACTACCTACCCGAAAACTCACGAAACAGTATTGGTGAGGCAACACATCATGTCACCAAAAGTATATACAATGTTCATATGTTTAACATGAAAGTGCTTAAAACGAAATATCGGTTAACACAAAATAATACGATGGTCCCGACAAACCACGTAGTTTCATGCATTTTTTCTCTTAACACAAAAAGATTTCCCTTCTGGGATGAACAAAATACAGAAAGCACCAGCCTAGCAGGCGAGATTTAAGAGGGGTGTGAAATGAAAAAGAGGTGGTTTCACATGTTTCATAGAAAGGAGGTTAACTTGGCTTTGACATGAGCCAATTTTGTTTATCTAAGCTACTTTCACCCTCCACCGCTAGAAACGCCACACAAAAACATCTCATCTCTCATCAGCTGGCTTTAGAATTCAGTGACGAGTACATTGCAGAGCGAGTAAAAAATCAGCAAATTTTTTTTTTTTTTTTTCCTATTTTAGAAGAATTTTTGATGAGTCCAATGGCAAAGAGCTCAAGGGGAAAGCAAACTGCTATTTCACTTAAAATGAAGATGGAGCTTCTTAAAGTTGTTGATGAAAAATAGAAGACAAAAACAGAAATCTGTAAAGATTTTGGGGTACTTTTCCATTTTGCTGGCGCAATATACAGAAAAGGCAAAGTCAAGGGTTAAATTCATCAATTCTAATGAGAATGCACTGGCAAAGTGAAGCACTGCGTTTTTACATAATTTTGGAGTAAGCTATTCGTATGCATTAAAATAGTTCTTGCACTTAAAATTGTATTCCAAATTAAGATTTAACTTGAAATTAATGTAGATAATTAATGAGAGAATTAGATTTTGTAGCGTAGTTTACGTGAGATGAGATCACTTGGGGTCACGTGATAAGAACTGCGAATCACGGTGTTGTACCATGAAAGCATAGCAAATTCTTAAATTAATGTCTTTTTACAAAATTTTAAGCGATATTAAAATGTTCATACCTTTAAAATAAAAATTTCCTAGAACTAACATTTGTTAAAATTTTTTATGCATATACTGTGTGTTGTCGGCAATAAGGTCTGCTTGGCAAGATTTGCTCTGGCGAAATGGAAAAGTACTGATTTTGGTATTGCTAACTCAACATTATCAATAATAATTAAAAAAAAAAGAGCAAATTATGAAAATGTTTGAATGCAGTAAGTTTGAGCCAGAGTGAAAACAGATGAGAACGGCCAAGCATGAGGATTTAGAGAAGACGCTTTTACTAGTTTAGTTCAAACAGAGGAGATCTCAGAATGCTCTAATATCAGGACCTTTAATGCTAGAAAGAAACAATGAACTTACTGAACAAATGGGTATTACATTTTATGCAAATCTAGGATGGTTGGAAATTTACAAGAAAAGAAATGGCACAGTACTAAAAAATGTTTGCAGTGGAAGAAAAAAAAAAAGTTTTAAAAAGTTTTACCAACCATGACAGCAAATTGGTTTCAGTCTACGTTGCCTTCAATACTTGAAGAACTGCTTATCTAATAAAACTTTATCAGTTACTAGCAGCTTCGCTGCCAGCCTTCGTCTGGCTTTTAAATGTACCGGAAAAATGGCTGAAGGCAACACCAAACGTTAAATTTAAAAACTGCGTTGAATTTTACTCTGCAGAACAATTTCATAAAAAAAAGTTATTACGTATAACAAAATTACAATGAAATAAGCAATATCCTTTAATACAAATATTAATTATCCTAATAAATAAATTAACCAACTTCCCTTTGCAAAATCTTAAGAACTCAAATGCTATAAAGCAGGTTAAGAACTTTGCTTCCTAAAAAAATCACTCAAAACTTTTCAATATCTTAAAAACAGTGAAATGAGCAATAAATAACATAAAAGAATACAAAAAACAAAAAATTCTTAAAAGCAAAGTATAATTAATGATATGTTATCTTATATTTTCAAGAGAAAAAAAAATTACAATAAAATAAGCTATATCCCTTAATACAAATATTAATTATCCTAATTAAAAAATTAACCAACTTTCCGTTGAAGAAAAAAATCATGCAAAACTTTTCAATATTTTACAAACAGTGAAATAAGCAAAAAATAACATGAAAGCAACTCAAAAAACCTAAAATTCCGCACAGAATTTTACTCTGCAGAACAACATTATAAAAAAAAAATCAATAAAATGTATTATATATGTTACCGTGAAAGACCGAAATTGGAGAATGTCAACATTCACCAAATACGTCGGTGAAAGACTGAATATTGCATTACATTCTTATACATTCGGATCCTCACCGGTATATGTCGACAATCACAGATATGCTCTGGTGTAGGTCAAAAAGAGTATATGTACACACTGTCATTGCAAAAGGTAATGTTTCACAAATAAATACAGTTGTAAAAGCAAGGGCCTCTTGTGCAATTCAAAGTGTCACAATAGTTTAAGTTGTTGTAATAAATAAGATTTGAATCACATAATTTAGCAAGTTTTTAACTTCTATTATTTTCCTTTCTCATTTTGAATGTACTATGTGTGTTTTAAGTTCTTATGTTCCTAAGTTCTTATTTTAAGTCTCAAGTGCGTTTTTTTCCGATTGAATTACGGAGAAGAAAATATAATAATCTTATATGTTCAACATTCACCATTAGTACATGGTGAATGTTGACATTAACCGGTGTAAGTCAGAAATAAGAGTATTTGGAAAATATTTCGGACATACACCAAGCGACTATGTGAATGTTGACATTCACCGGTGAAAGTCGACATTCTCCAGATTTCGATGTTTCACCGTAACATATACAGTCAAAAGTCGTTAATTCGGACACTCATAATACGGAATGATCTATAATCGCATCTCAAAGCTACAAACTAATTAATTAATTCTAAAATTAATTCTAAAATTATCTAATTCAGTTAATGTTGCAGATTGCATTGTTCCTTAATCTTTGAATTGGATCCGGCTTATTATTTTTTGCAGACTGTTAGAGCAATTTTATAAAAGTAAGCTTGAACTTTTGATTATGTCAAATAGAATTTCCAATATATATTTACTAATATGTAAAGGATCTACAAAGCGAAAGTATGTTTCGAAGTCCATTAAACAAAAAGTGGAATTGCTGCAAAAAATGGATAAAGGCATATCCTTTGTTTCTCTAACCATTCCGAAATCTGATTATCAATTTCACGCTGCTCTGCGGGGAGGAACGCCGAGGCCCGCAATGAATTGGAAGTTGATCTGTCAACACTATACTTATCTTCAGGGCAGATGTTTTTATTTTATTTGGCTTATAATTCCTTACTAAATGTAGTATTTCATCTCGATGTACTCCATCTTTGATATGATTTAAATCAAATTCCTCATCATTATAATTTGCTTCCGATAGTGAAGAAAGTGACACAGAGGTTATTGAAAACGAAAAAAATTCGATTGACAAATTAGTCGGTATTCTTGACACAGCAATTATAGGACTTGAACAGCGGAACTTTGTAACTGAACAATATATTATGCAACTTAAACAATTTACATTGAAAGAAATGTTTAATAAAGTAAACAAATAAATATTAAGCTTATAAAAAAAAAAAAAAAAGCTTAATATTATTGTAAAATTTGATACCCTTTAGATCATAATTGTTCTTTATTTCACAAATTATGGTCTCATATTTTTAATTTTAGAATTTCTGCATGCCATCTTACCAGATTTAAACTGATGATCTATAATCCTTAAAAATCGATAATCCGGAATCAAAGTCCCGACGCGTCCGGATTAACGACTTTTGACTGTATATATACAAATGACAATGAAATATGCCAATATCTTAAAAACAGTGACATAAGAAATACGATGAAAAATTGTTGCCAAACCCATATTTCTAAAAGAATGAAACTATTCAAAATGATGTGATTTCATCAAAAATCTATCAACAAAAATAAGAAAGGAAAATTGTTGCCAAAATCGCATTTTTAAAGATGTGAGAACGTTGAAATTTTGTATATAGGATTGCTATAACATGTAGATGTGCACCTCGTATTTTGGTTGCAATCGGCCGCTTCAAACGTATAAAAATATATTTATATATATACCCACTCTGCTACCCGGCTCAGTGATCTCAGTTTCTTTACTCTTATATGTTTGTAAATTGTACATATTTTGTTTTAAAAATGATTGAATTATATTGTTTTTAATCTTCCGGTTAAGGTTTTTATGCCTTAACCGGTATATCTGTATGTAACCGGTGTATCTTATAGTAAATCTGTATGCAATATTTTTAGAATTATCAACAATTTTAAAGTTGTTTAAGTGTCGCTAAGCCTTTTTTTTATGGTGGCCATTGATTGTTTACATTTGAAACAGCAGACTAGTGGATTTGTTGCCAATCTAGAGAAACTT